GTGTGCTGAGGGTAAGCTGCTAACTGGAGGTGGCTGAGACGGTTCACCTTTGACCTGCCGGCAACCCACAAACAGTCTTCTAACGTCTGAAATACCCTTAAATCCACGCCCACACCAGTGCCACCATTTGTCATGTGGGTTTTCGATACGTGGATAGGGTAAGAATACTCATGTAGGCTGGTAGTACGTATAATATATAACGGGAAGTATGGAAAGCGCCAACAGCCGACCTGCCTCTCTCTGCTCCCTATCTTGACTGACTCACAGTGCCTATGGGTGAGGGGGTGTTTGAAATCCTGCTATGGTCAGCAGCAATATGAATACAGTCAGTGATTCACGCAGAAACGGTTGGTAGTGAGTCATCTACTGGTACACTTGTTACTGGTAACTGGTACTACTACTGAGACTGCTGGCCAAGATAAAGAAACAATGTAAGGGACTGCTGGCCAAGATAAAGAAACAATGTAAGGGACTGCTGGCCAAGATAAAGAAACAATGTAAGGGACTGCTGGCCAAGATAAAGAAACAATGTAAGGGACTGCTGGCCAAGATAAAGAAACAATGTAAGGGACTGCTGGCCAAGATAAAGAAACAATGTAAGGGACTGCTGGCCAAGATAAAGAAACAATGTAAGGGACTGCTGGCCAAGATAAAGAAATAATGTGGCAGGGCACACAACACTTACAAGTGGCGGGGCACACAACACTTACAAGTGGCAGGGCACACACAACACTTACAAGTGTCGGGGCACACAACACTTACAAGTGTCGGGGCACACAACACTTACAAGTGGCAGGGCACACACAACACTTACAATGGCGGGGCACACACAAACTTACAGCATGGCACACACAAACTTACAAGGCAGGCACACACAACACTACAATGACGGACACACAGCACTACAGTGCGGGGCACACACAGCACTTACAAGTGGCAGGGCACACACAACACTTACAAGTGACGGGGCACACACAACACTTACAAGTGACGGGGCACACACAACACTTACAAGTGGCGGGGCACACACAACACTTACAAGTGATGGGGCACACACAACATTTACAAGTGACGGGGCACACACAACACTTACAAGTGACGGGGCACACACAACACTTACAAGTGGCGGGGCACACACAACACTTACAAGTGGCGGGGCACACACAACACGGATTATATACTTATAAGTTATGTTCTTACAACAAAATCTTGCTGTGACTGATACGACAAAAATTGTTCGCAGAAATAATGGTAGACAAGTCTGCAAAAAGATCCAGGGAATGAGACACTGCTGGTGTACAAAAAAAAAGGTACACATAGAAATAAATGAATAATTTAGTATACTGGGGTGAATAACACTGCAGGAACTACAATAATGACAAATACTGGAGAATACAATGCTGAAAGAACACAAGATAAAAGAAAATGATGGATTACTTCACACGCAGTGAATGACTGGGTTAAGGAACAAAATACTGCACAGAAATAAGGAATACACTTGAACACTACAAAATAATACTAAAGACAGGGAGTAGCATAAAAAAACAGATAAACAATATAAAAGTGAAACACGAAAGATGAGCGATAACACTGAAAAATATTGCAAAAATAATGAGTCAAAGAAACATTGAGTCTACACTGAAAACACAAGACTTAGAGTACACAAGAAATTCACTGTAAATGTCTCACACACGCAAATGTCTTTAAATGCAGGAAAATGTCTAAACAGAAAATTATCACTGAAGTCTGGAGTGGTAGACGGCGGTGACGGGTGGTGAAGACGTGGTCCTGTGCGGTGATGATTCCTCCTACACTCCCACTGTTGTCATGTAGAAATGCACTTTCTAGGTGAACTCACATATCTGGCTTTATCGTTGGCGCACAGCTACAATCTCTTGACCATTTATGTGAGCCAAAACAGTACTAGGACCCGGTACAAGGGTGGAAAAACCCACAGGTAGATGGGGTGGAGAGTGCGTGGCGGGTGGGTGAAGGGAGCGTGACTCAACTCGCTGGCGCTCACTGGCGCACAGTCTCACCGTCTTACCACTCTCAAGAAAACTCCAGGTGGCTTAACTAAGCCACAATATGCCACAGGGATGGTGAAGACCACTCTTAGCATCCAACTGGGAGCACAAAGCGATATAGGAGACAATACTTCAGAGGAACTTGCATGGTGTACTTCTCTCTCCAAGCTGGGTTAGAAGCTGGGTTGGCTGACTGGCTTAACCCACGACAATAGCTGACTGGAAGATGTGTAACGATGCACACAGCATGAAGGAGCAGGTGGATGACAGGAGGCAGACTGGATGATAGGCTGAGGCAGGCTGACTGGCGTTCACTTCCACAGTCTGGCTTACTGGCTGACTTAATTGCAAAATCCGGGTCAACCCCTCGGAGATTGAAGCAATTAGCACACGAACTAAACCATGAAGCTTGAAAAGAGGCTGCAACAGGCTTGCAGGCTGGAGGTGGCAGAGACGGTTCACCTCTGACCTGCCAGCACCCCACAAACAATCTTCTAACGTCGGAAATACCCGTAAATCCACGCCCACATCTCTGTTGCCAATTTGTCATGTGGGTTCGATAACGTGGATGGGGTAAAAACACTCACGTAGGCTGGTTAGTACATATAATTATAACGGAAAGTATGGGAAGCACCATCAGCCGCCCTGCTTCTCTCTGCTCTCTATCTCAGACTGATCCACCAGTGCCTAGGGGGTGAGCGGCGTTCAAAAACATGCTATGGTCAGCATCGTGAATAACAGTCAATGATTTACACATGGTTGGTAGTGAGTCATTAACTGGTTACTGGTAACTGGTACTACTGAGACTACTCTTAAGGATTGTATGGTCCAGTGGATTAAGGCATCATGAGTTTTCGCCCACCATGAGGCAGGCCAAAGCAGCATGGGTTCGGGTCCTTGGCTAGTCGCAGTATTGTTATTGAGATTATATATATATATATATATATATATATATATATATATATATATATATATATATATATATATATATATATATATATATATATATATATATGAGAGTATAGTTATAACAGCGCTCTTATATGGGTGTGAAACATCGGTTGCAACAAGGAGACGGCTGGAGGCAGTGGATATGCCATGTCTGAGGGCAGTGTGTGGTGGTGTGAATATAATGCAGATAGTAGTTTGGAAATTAGGAGGAGGTACAGGAATACCAAAACTATTATCCAAAGGGCCGAGGAGGGGTTGTTGAGGTTGTTGGGACATATAGAGAGGATGGAACAAAATAGAATGACTTCGAGAGTGTATAAATCTATAGTGGAGGGAAGGCGGGGTTGGGGTCGGCCTAGGAAGGGGTGGAGGGAGGGGGTAAAGGAAGTTTTGTGTGCGAGGGGCTTGGACTTTCAGCAAGCATGTGTGACCTTGTAAGGTAAAAGGACACAAGTGCAACTAATGTGACATTTATTGTGGCAACGTTTCGCTCTCCAGGAGCTTTATCAAGCCATTACAAACAATACATGGACACACAGGGTATATAAAGGCTCAGAGTGAGGTGCAATACTTGTGAGGTAACATTTCGATGTTCACTAGTGGTAGTAGTAGTAGCAGTGGTAGTGACAAAAGTCTACTACTACTACCACTAGTGAACATCGAAATGTTACCTCACTAGTATTGCACCTCACTCTGAGCCTTTATATACCCTCTGTGTCCATGTATTGTTTGTAATGGCTTGATAAAGCTCCTGGAGAGCGAAACGTTGCCACAATAAATATCACATTAGTTGCACTTGTGTCCTTTTACTTTACATATTGTCGGTAATTCTACCGACTTTATTGCAATGTGTGACCTTGTTAGAAAGGAGCGAATGGAGACACGTGGTTAGGACTTGACGTACTGTTGGAGTGTGAGCAGGATAACATTTATGAAGGGATCCAGGGAAACCGGCAGGCCGGACTTGAGTCCTGGAGATGGGAAGTACAGTGTCTGCACTCTGAAGGAGGGGTGTTAATGTTGCAGTTTTATAACTGTAGTGTAAGCGAGCCTCTGGCAAGACAGTGATGGAGTGATGAAAGTTTTTCTTTTTTCGAGCCATCCTGCCTTGGTGGGAGACGGCCGATGTGTTAATAAAATAATAATGTTGACTGAGAACTGTAAAAGCAAGTGTCTATACACTAACTTTGGGAAGTGTTTAAACAGAAACGTTGACCGAAAAGTGTAAAAGTGTTTATGTATTAACATTGAAGTGTAAAAGTAAGTGTTTATACAATAACACTGAGAGATGACTCAGACGCTGACTACTATCTTAGATGAAGCTACACCGAGTGCCACATCAGTCAGGCTGTTATGGCTGGGTATGCCTGGAGGTGCCGGCAGCGAGTGCCATACAGACAGGTGCCAACTCCTCCTCCACCGCCTGATACACAACTTTAAAATTATAACATCGCACTTCAGTCCACTACCCCAGTGTTCCTTACCACAGTGCCAGGCACTGCCACAGTTCTTACTGTCTATGTGAGGGACGGTCCGGGATACATAGATATTTTACTAACATAAACAATGCTGATGGGGTATGGGGGTATAGAATGCATAATAAAGATACCAAACAAGGCTTCATTTTTGAACTGTTATCAGTCATATTGATCTACAATACCGACAAGTTGGTGAATAAGACACACGCAAAGTTTAGCCAATCGGTGGCTTTATCATTTTAAGCCAGAGGTTATTAACTGGTATAGAGTAGTGGGACTGATTGCATCATCATCATCTGTTAACATTTAATATTCTCTGTATTGACTAAGGAAAAGAGTCACTGGATGGCGAAGCATCTTCATGAAGATAACGAGGTGTTGCACGTGTCTAAGTCATCATCTAATAGCTAGTTTTTGATCTCTAAGAAGTGAAAGAGGATTTTGAAAACAGTTTGTGTTGTCTAGTTAATTCAAAGTTGAGTTAGACGATTTTATGTCAAGAAGGTTCAGTGTGTTTTCTAACTGAGTTGTGTTGTTGTTTCAGACATGGCGAAGACCTTATTGTTACACCTTTCGCCCAGATCCTCGCCTCTCTCAGGTCCGTCAGAAATAACTACATCAACCTCACCAACGTCTCCACCACCAAGTGAGTATCTTGTTCCTTCATGTTGGGAGTGTGTGTGTGTGGGGGGGGGGTGTTGGAGTGTTGGAGTGTACTCACCTATTTGTGGTTGCAGGGGTCGGATCATAGCTCCTGGCCCCGACTCTTCACTGATCGCTACTAGGCCCTCTCTCTCCCTGCTCCATGAGCTTTATCAAACCTCGTCTTAAAACTATGTATGGTTCCTGCCTCCACTACGTCATTTTCTAGGTTATTCCACTGCCTGACAACTCTGTGACTGAAGAAATATTTCCTAACATCCCTTTGACTCATCGGAGTTTTCAACTTCCAATTGTGACCCCTTGTTTCTGTGTCCCATCTCTGGAACATCCTGTCTTTGCCCACCTTGTCAATTTCTCACAGTATTTTATATGTCGTTATCATGTTTCCCCTAGCCCTCCTGTCCTCCAGTGTCATCAGGCCGATTTCCCTTAACCTTTCTTCGTAGGACAATCCACTTAGCTCCTGGCCCTGGCTCTCCACTGGCCAATACTGACTTCACTCTTCTGGCTGTGAGAGAATTGTCGTATTTATTCCTAGAACTGTAAGTGGATTCTGCCTCTACCATTTCTCGGTCCAGGTCGTTCCACTTTCTAACCGCTCTAAGGCTAAAAAAAAAAATTTCCTAGCATCCCTGTGATTCTGTATCTTATACTTGCAGCTGTGACCTCGTGTACCCGAGTTCCGTTTCTTGAGTAATCTGTCCCTGTTCACTCTGTTAATGTTCTCAGTATTGTGTACGTCATCATGTTGTACCTGGTTCCTCTCTCATCTGATATCGTCAGCTTTGGCTCTTCTATTTTCTGCTCTTGTTCATATTCCTCAGCTCGGAGACTAGTCTCACTGTGAACCTCTGCAGTTTTTCCAGCTTCTTGACATGCTTCATAAGGTGTGGGTTCTATACTGGCGCTGCACACTCCAATATGGACATAACATATACGATGCAAAGGTTACGATGGCTTCTGAAGCTGCCTTAAGGCCAGATTTAGATTTTGGGAAATATTCGGTTGATGTGCACCTCATGTGATATGCTTGGTGCTGTGTTCACCTCGAGGTCTTTCTCAAGTGCAGTTTGCAGCTTTTGTGTCCCCCCCCCCCCAAGCCTATACTCCGTTTCTGGCCTTCTTTATAAACCATTCTATAACCTTGCATTTACTGGAGTGAGTTGCAGTAACTACGTGTCAACTCAGTCCTACAGCTTGTTCAGGGTCATTTAAAGCCTTGGCTTATCCTATTATTTTCATCATTAGTTTGACATCTACAAACAAGGGCATATCAGACTCTCTCCTGTGGTCTGTCATTCACGTTTTTTTAAAGCAGTACAGGTCCTAGTACTGATCCTTGTGGAACCCTACTTTTCACACTTAACCATTCTGACACCTCTTTCAAGACAATCTTTTCTTATCTTCCTGGTAAATATTCCTTAATATATTGCTGTCTCTCCCTCTTATTCTTGCATGTTCCTCAAGTTCTTATTCTATTCTGTTTTGTAATATGTCAAAAGCCTTCTTACAGACCAAAAATATGCAATCTGACCCTCCCCCTATTCTTATTCTATCTTTTTACAGTGTCAAAAAAAAAAAAACTAGCAGGTTCGTGAGAAAAGGGTTTGCAATTTTAAAACGAATGTTTCTGTTTTGAAGTGTAAGCACCCTCCAGTTACTCCACACTAATGATAATCTTCCCCATACCCTTACTATACATGTCAGCGACACAGGTCTCTAATGCTGCCTTAAATACTGGAACTACATTTTCTTGCTTCCACACCTCTGGCAGCTGCCCTGTGGAACTTGTCGAAGATTTCAGTTAGTGATACATACACACTGCTGTTATTGCTGCTGTTAGTGCTGCTGTTGCCGCTGCTGCCGCTGCTGCTTCCAGCACCCACCGAAATACAATATCTCGCCTTGTCTTCTTCAAGATCTCGAGGTCACTTGGTAGTTTCTTCACATCTGCTGTTGTGTGTATTGTGTCCAGTACTCGTTGGTCTGTCTGTCTCTCTCTCTCTCTTTCTCTCTCTCTTTCTCTCTTTCTATCTCTTTTCCTCTCTCTCTTTCTCTCTCCTCTCTTTCTCTCTCTCTCTTTCTCTCTCTTTCTCTCTCTCTTTCTCTCCTCTCTTTCTTTCTTTCTCTCTCTCTTCTTTTCATTCTCTCTCTCTCTTTCATTCTCTCTCTCTCTCTCTCTCTCTCTCTCTCTCCTCTCTCCTCTTCTCTCTCTCTGGGTGAAGTATGAGCTCATTCTTTTATTACCATTGTTTCTTCTACTCGCCCTCTGTATTAGTTTCTGCTGTTTCCCTTCCTGTCACCATCCATCTACCAACTCTCAATTTCATTCCCTATCTTTCCTTGTAGGGCTTTCCCACTACATTCAGGAATTCTCTCATACCTGTGTATTCTCCTCTAAATTTTGTTTTTTCCTTTCTTCTCTTGCTGTGTGTCTGGTGTTTACTTCCACAGTGTATGTGAGACTCGGTTCTGTGGTGGTTGCCAGCACCCCGGGACCTTACATGCCACCTAAGTCACTTTCACTGAGGGTGAATAGTAGGTACAACCATGCTGGTTCATCCCCTCCTCTCTGGTTGTTCCTGACATGTTGACATGTAAAGCTAGCTCTCATCACATCACCTTAGTCTTCTGTGTTTCCGGTCCCTTGTGTGAATCCTAGTGTTCCCAGTTCATTTCCTTGTGGTTAGTCTTATATGATCAAATGTCTTGCATTAGTCTTGTTGCTTCTGCTGGTGTTCGCCTGTTGTTGTAGCCATATTCCTTTCTTAATATCCTCGTGTTTATTGGTGGTGGGTTGTATATCACTGCCTTGGGTCCTCCAGTCTTGAGTGCGGCTGTGTACTCATTTGACTTCCCTCTCTTTATTTCTCTCATCTCCTCAAAGCTCCTCTGATTTCTGATTAGCAGTGATTCTTCCCTTCCTCTCCTTCCTCAGAATTTGATACCCAGCTGGGAAAATAGCATCTGTTATCATCTCCATGAGCTTCGTCTCTCTGAATGCTGTGATATGTGTGTGTGTGTGTGTGTGTGTGTGTGTGTGTGTGTGTGTGTGTGTGTGTGTGTGGTTATGTGGGGGTGTGCGTCTATGAATGTGTATCTATGTGGGGGAATGTAACAGATGATGTAGTTGTGTTTGAGTAGCTATGTAGGAGTGTGTCATATATCTGTGTAGGTGCGTGTGGCTATGTATGACTGTGTGACTATGTTGCATATGGTTGGCTATGTGGTAATGTGTGTGAATATGTGACTAAGCAAAAGTAAGAACACCTCTCGCAACTGCTAGACCACTATGATATGGTCTTAGATACAGAGGCGTCGTAAGGGGGCGGGGGGGGCCGCCTCGGGTGACACCATTTAGGGGGTGACACCATAGAGCCTCTAAAGGTGACACTAATGCACAAAACAGTGCTGCACCAACATAAGAGAAGAATCCTTTGTTTCTATATAGTCTATATAGACCTATATAGGGAAAATAATTGATTTTGATGATGTGATAGATGATTTTGCAGGATTGAAGGCAAGGAAATATAAGATCAGATTCACTGAGATATTACCTGTACTCAAGGTCAAATGTAAGATCAGATTCACTGAGATGTTACCTGGACTCAAGGTCAAATGTAAGATCAGATTCACTGAGATGTTACCTGGACTCAAGGTCAAATGTAAGATCAGATTCACTGAGATGTTACCTGGACTCAAGGTCAAATGTAAGATCAGATTCACTGAGATATTACCTGGACTCAAGGTCAAATGTAAGATCAGATTCACTGAGATGTTACCTGGACTCAAGGTCAAATGTAAGATCAGATTCACTGAGATGTTACCTGTACTCAAGGTCAAATGTAAGATCAGATTCACTGAGATATTACCTGTACTCAAGGTCAAATGTAAGATCAGATTCACTGAGATATTACCTGGACTCAAGGTCAAATGTAAGATCAGATTCACTGAGATGTTACCTGGACTCAAGGTCAAATCGGAACTAGTGTTTCTCTGATATTGCAATGTTTTTCTTTATTTTTCTTTTTTTTTGGGGGGGGAGGGGCATTGTTGAAGACGAATAAATGTAGGATCTGTTGCTGTACTCAAGGTGATATTTGAGTTTGTTTCCTCAATATTACTACGATTGTTTATTTTATCATTAATTATGTTGAGAAGTATTCTCCTGTTCGGTTTATGGCCCTTAAACATTCTCATTTCTAAACATTAGTCACTGGTCATGCAGTAGTGACGTAACTGGAGTTCCCCCCCCCCCCCCACCCTTGAATTTCATGGGGGTGACACCCAAGACTCCGCCCCGGGTGACACCAACCCTAGCGACGCCCTTGCTTAGATGCACTGGAAAACAAACAGAATGCAGATGTAGTATAAACAGATTTTGCAGAAGCCTTTGACAAGTGCGACCATAGTGTAATAGCACACAAAATGCGTGCTAAAGGGATAACTGGCAAAGTAGGCAGATGGATCTTCAACTTTCTAACCAATCGAATACTGCAAAGAGTAGTGGGAAACAGAGTTAAATCGGATGCTGCCATAGTGAAGAGCTCTGTCTCACAAGGCACAGTACTTGTACCTATCCTGTTATTTATTCTCATATCAGACATAGAGATGTAAACCACAGCGCTGTATCATCTTTTGCAGACGATACTAGGATCTGCATGAGAGTGCCATCCACTGTGGACACTGCAAATCTCCAAGAAGATATAAACCAAGTTTTCCACTGGGCAACAGAGAACAATATGAACTTCAATGAAGACAAATTCCAACTGTTCCGTTATGGAAAACTGGAGGAAATAATAACTAGAACTGAGTATACTACAAACTCTAATGACACAATAGAGCGGAAAAGTAATGTGAAGGACCTGGGTGTGGTAATGTCTGAAGACCTCACCTTCAAGGACCACAACAATGCCACTATCACATCTGCGAGGAAACTGATAGGATGGATAATGAGAACATTCAAGACAAGAGAGGCTAAAT